CCTCCCCGCGCGGACGCGGCCCGACTTGGGCTCTCGCGTGACCCGCCCCTCCCTTCCGCGGCCCAGGGGGTCCCCATCCCTCAGAGCCCCTCCAGCCCCTGGGCGGAGTCCCCAGCTTTCCCCGCGCCCCTCACGGCCCCTCCGATTTCCCCGCAGGCTCTCGGGCGGGAACACACTTCGCAGAGACTTTTCCCCGACAAACTTCCAGAAGCTCTGGAGGACGGTGAGTTTCTGCACGGCCCGGCTGCCCGCCACCCGCTCAGGCCCAGACCTCCGTGGGAGGGAGGGAGCGAACCGAGGGGGCGCCTCCCCCCAACGGCAGCTCCAGGAGGCGGTAAAACCGAGGGGGTGGGGAGAGTGGGGGGCGGGTTTCCCGGGCGCCTCCGGGCTCGAGTCACTTCCGGTGCCCTGACCTTTATAGGAGTAAACAGACCCCCTTCATCTCCGCCTCCCCTCTGCCCAGGTGACTGCCTAATCCCCTGTCCCGAGGAGAAAGCGCTGGCAGGGTTCCTGGGCCGGCTGGGAGGGTGGGGGTCAGGTGGGGGCCGCCTGGGGAAGGCCTGGACCTGGATCTTCGCAGAACTTGGCACTGGGCACCTCCATCCCGTTTCTTCTCACGAACTTGAAGGGGACCCCTTGGCAATTCTTGCTTTTCTCTCGAGAGCAGACAGCCTTCAGCCCTCGCTGCCCTGCCCGGGCTGGCGTGTCTGACCCCGCTGTGGTTTTTCCAGGCCTGAAGGCCCCGGAGTGCGCTAGCAGCATGTACAAAGACACCGTCTACTCCGCCTTCAATCTGCTCATGCACTACCCGCCCCCCTCGGGAGCAGGGCAGCACCCCCAGCCGCAGCCCCCACTGGTAAGTGGCCCTAGCCCCCCCGGGTGCCTGCGACCTCCTTGACCAGGTATGTGAGGCCCGAGCAAGAAGTGACTTTCGCTTACAACAAAATAGATACGGGAGAATTCCGTTCTGGTCTGTCTTCCCATTCATGCCGAGCGGGATCTGAACCAGAGAACTGTGCTGAAGGAAGGAGGGGTGGCCCTGGGCACGCCACTTCCCCGCTGGCTGTTGGCTTTTGTCTTCCCAGCTTGCTCACAAGCAGGTGTAGGCCTTATCCTGGTGCTTGGTGATGCTGGGGTGTAATCTTCTCACAGTACATTTGTGCTGAGATCCATCCCCCTGACTCCTGAGGGTGGTGTGCATAGTGTGGTCTGAGCTGTGAGCTCTGTAGTTAGCCTCCCCCCTAAAGCCCGAAGCCCCAAGCCTTGGTGCTGGGAGGAACCCGCAGAAAAGCTGGTGGGCTTCAGATTTCCTGGGTGTGGATCGCTACTTGCTCTGTCCTTATTGGCATGAGTGCACCATGCAACAGAAAGCCTAAACACCATGTGTGGAAAGTGAAGCTGGCTTGGTCTCAAATGCACCACGAAAGGTTTGTTGAGGTGTTTCAAATCAGTAATGTTGGTAAAGGGCCTGTTTGATGAATTTGCAAATTAAGTATGTTTACATACCTAGTGGTTTGAAAAGATTTCATGATCATTACAAACCATGCTTTTCTGACCATTGGAGCAGATGATCTCAAGTGTGAAGAGCCTACTTTGAGTGCTTTGGAGCAGTTAAGCTGCACTTAAAAAAAAAATTCAGATTAGTGTTTCAGATTGTCCTCAGGTAGCCCAAGTTGGGGTGAGGTTAGAGCTCCTAGAGTACATGAAAGGTCTGGGGGACTCTCTTTGGCGGATGTTGGGTGCATATGCGGGCACAGTGTAGGTGGGTCCCACAGGTGCAGGCCCTATCCTGGCTCACATGGCTCATGGTGGGGGTCACCCAGAGGGAGGAGGGTGACTGCCTGGCTTTCTGATCTGGAGATGAGGGTTTCATGCTGAAGGCAGTGGGAGGTGAGATGACAGATTGAGGCTTCCCTCTAGAAACCCAGGATGGAAAGCCTTGTAGACAGCTGACTCAGGAAGTGAGCTCCTTGCCCTCTGCACCCCTATTTTCTCATTTCTAGAAGGAGCATGTTGGATGAGTGTTCTATCTCTTTCTGCTCGGGGGTGGCTCTATCTAGATGTTTGCTTCCTTTCAAGTCTAGCGGGGAGGGGGCTGACCACTGACCTTGCCACCTGATGCCACAGCTCTCCTGAGAGACCTCTGCCCCACAGGAGCAGATGCTTAACAAAGATGCTTTCGGGGCCCCTTAGAAGGAGCAAGCCCTTCGATTTGGGGCCAGGTTGACATAACTCACTACTGCCAAACCACTGGCAGGTGAGTTGCTTGCTTACATGGTCAGGGGCCTTGAGTCACTGTGATAACCCTGACTAGACAAAAGGCCTAGGCCCGAGAACAAGCCTAGCAGGGCAGGCTCCCCTCCTGCTTCTTGTGAGTCCACAGTGGTGCAAGGAGAAGCAGTGTTTCCGAGTTCCTCTCATGGCATGGGCAAGTGGTGGGAGAGTGCCCAGAGAGGGAGGGCCTCGTTCTCTGTAGGGGTGTGATGCTGAGACCATTTGGTGTCCTTTAGTTCACATTGGTCAAAGAGTAGGTGGACCCACAGCCAACTCCAGCCTAAGGATTGGGGGTGGGGTACAACACCCCTCTCCTGGCCTGGGTTGTGTTTTTTTTTCAACTTAGGAGCTTTCTCAAGATACAGCAGATGTATTTGTATGTGTCACACCCTCCCTGTAAGGGCAGACCCCTTGGTTCTCCTCCCCACTCAGCTGCTGCCTCCCCACAGCCTCGCTTCTGGGAGCACAGGAGGAGGACAGGCTCTGGCACTGACTTTCAGTGCCCTGGTGCCAGCTGCTTCAGGGGGTGGGCAAGGGCCTAAGTAGGGGTGGCACTGCGTGCGGAAGATGTATGTGAATGTAGTGGAGCCTCTTTTAAGAAAACTTGAAAGCCCTAGTCAGTTTGGCCCAGAGGATAGAGTGTCAGCCCACGGACTAAAGGGTCCTGGGTTCGATTCCAGTCAAGAGCATGTACCTCCCTTAAAGGCTTGATCCTGGCTCTGGCCCCAGGCACATGCGGGAGGCAACCGATCGTTGTGTCTTTCTCACATCGATGTTTCTCTCTGTCTCTCCCGCTCCCTTCCACTCTCTGAAAACTTGATAGTTACAAGCAAATAGCAAGTAAGAGTAGTTGTTTGCAATACTTGAAGAGTTGTATAGACAATTAAAAATTTGGTTGTGTTTTAAAAAGCAAAATTAATTGACCCTATGTTTTGGGAACACATTTATCATGTGACTCAAGGTTCATGTCTAGAATCAGAAAATATTCTCTTCAAGTGGGTCAGGAACCCCTTGCAGGGGCCCTGAGGGAAAACTGCCTTTGGACGTTTTCTTCAAAGCGGTGCTTTCCTGAGCCCATCTTCACGGCACAAATGACAGGCTGCCCAGCCCCTGCCCGTGGGCTTTAGAACTAGGCTCCCCGGCCCTTTGCCCAGCCCTCTCTGAGAGAATGCAAGTGGTCAGCAGTTGTGCTGAGGAGCTCAAGACCAATCCCTTGACTTCTCTGCCCATGTGTAGATGGAATGTCCATGTGGCTACCACATTCGGTACCTCAAAACAGGCAGACCCGAACCTAGCCTGGAGTAACGGGCCAGGTAACCACCTCAAGCTCAATTGCCACAGGGCAGAGGGAGATTTTTCCCCCCAAAAAAGTTTGTTTCTTTTTGGTACTTGGTGTCTTGTAGACTCTGTAAGGGGAATTAGGTCAAAGTTTATTTCATGGCTGATGTTTGTCAGGCATCTAATGCGGGTTTGCACAGTTACTGGCCTAGAGCAGTCACCACTCCTTATTTTGGTTTTATTTCCTCTGCTCTGAGACCTGGAGATGGGGGTGGAGAGCAGTGAGTGGGTCCTGGGCCAGACTTTGAGGGGCTTCTGGGATGAGTAAGGCATCATTCCTTAGGGAAACACAGGCTTTTGAATATGCAGGACTGATGATCTGGTACAAATCCTCATCTCAAAAGGAATACGAGGCCACATTGCTCTTGTGACCCCTTCCCTGGGCTACACTGAGAACCTGTGGCCTAGAAAGCTGATGAGCTTTTTGCTATTTAGATGAACTGTCCAGAATGGGCAAATCTATAGGGACAGACAGTAAATTAGTAGTTGTCAGGGCCTGGGAGAAGAGGGGTGTGAGGATGGACTCTAATGGGGTTGCTTTTTGGGGTGATGAATATGTTCTGGAATTAGATAGTGGACACATTTTTTCTACCATATGAATATACTAAAAGCCACTGAATCATACACTTTTTAATGGTGAATGTTATAGTACATGAATTACATCTCAGTACAGGGGGAAAAAAACACACCTGAGGCTCTTGGCTCTTATAGGGACTCGGGACTATTTCCCTGTGTCTGAGCACTATAGCCTTCCTGATACCTGGGTGTGCTTCAAGCCAGGGAGTCAGGCATCAGCTCCTGGGTGGAGGAGCCCAGCTAGGCAGTGGACTCATGCTGGGGCTCCTGGCCATTTGGCTCACATTCCCTGACTCCAAGGTCTGAGGTCCAGGTGAGGGCTGTGCAAACAAGTCCCCGGGGAGCAGGAGGTGAGGGTGTGAGCAAGACGAGCATAGGAAGGAAGTGCTGCTGACACATGGCCAGCGTATCCAGGGGAGCTCTGCAGAGATGCACCCACTCAGCCCGCCACACCCCGCAGAGAGAGCAGCAGGGCCTTGTTAGGGAGGGTTACTGATGGTCCATCACCAGCTCTGGTTGGAGTGAAGCCTGTTAGAAGGGAGGCTGGCACCAGGCTGAGCACCTAGGTGCTCCGCCTCTGGGAGCACCTGGCCGAGTGGAGAAGACTCCCTCCTGGCTGGACAGTGCTGTCACAAAAGACCCAGCTGGGAGCATCCTGGGCAGAGCTGATGCAGGAGGGTCTGCTGAGCAAATTCCTAAGGCACAGTTGTCCGACAGGTGAAGACAGAGGGACTGGCAGGCACCTGGGCTCCTCTCCAGATATCCCCGATTTCCCACTTCTCCACTTCAGTCACCACTCCCCAAGCCCAAGCATCTCCATCCCTCACCCAGATGGCAGTAGCAGCCCCCTCCAGGGTCCCTCTGCACCTGCCCCCACCCTAACCCTTACCCTAACTGCCACTCCAGGCTCCACATAGTAGCCAAAGGAGTCCTTTATTTTTTATTTCATTTTTTAAATATATTTTATTGATTTTTTACAGAGAGGAAGGGAGAGAGATAGAGAGTTAGAAACATCGATGAGAGAGAAACATCGATCAGCTGCCTCCTGCACATCTCCAACGGAGGATGTGCCCGCAACCCAGGTACATGCCCTTTACCGGAATCGAACCTGGGACCCTTCAGTCCCCAGGCCGACGCTCTATCCACTGAGCCAAACCGGTTTCGGCCAAAGGAGTCCTTTAAAAACATAAATCAGCCCTAGCCAATTTGGCTCAGTGGATAGAGCATCTTCGGCCTGTGGACATGAAGGGTTCTGGGTTCGATCCAGTCAAGGGCACATGCCCGGGTTGTGGGCTCGATCCCTAGTAGGGGGCATGCAGGAGGCAGCCGAGTGATTCTCATCATTGATGTTTCTATCTCTCTCTACCTCTCTGAAATCAATCAATAAAAATATATTTAAAAAACAACAACATAAATCAGATCCCATCTCCCACCTGATTAAACCCTATAGTGGCTTCCCATTGCTCATGGAATAAAGTCCAAACCACTCACCACAGCCTGAGTGCCTGGGTGGCCAGCACCTGATCACCCCTCTCATCAGCACCATACTCTTCTCTCCCTAAATAGCAGCCACTTCAGTGTCATGATAAGTTTTACAACCAACGAGAATCTTTTCCACCTCAGGACCTTTGCACTTGCCCCTCAGCTTGGAATTCTTTGGCAGCTCTT